ACCCGAGTCTTTTTCAGGGGATGTCTGGGTAACCTGAGGTCGGTCCCAATTGTTTCCTGCTCCGTGGGCTTATCTCTCGACTGGTAATTCCTGTCTATGGTGTTGTGGGCCCACAGTTCAGTCTGGGACCGTGACCAGATCACGCTGGCGTGTAGCTCTGGGCTGGTGACCAGGCGCCTGGCGGAACCGGGATCTCTTCAGTGGTTTAGCCGGGTGAGTTAAAGCTGATTGAATCCCCCACCGTGGGGTATCCTCTCACCTGTGAAACACAATCACTTGTGTTTTATGGCCGCGAGTTCTGATTGCTGGTCACTGTGCCAATCCTGCTGTGCTGCTCCTCAGAATGAGAGTCCTCCAGGCGCTGCCATCTTGCCCCGCCTCCGCAAATCTATTTATTATTTTTTTATAAATTATAGTTTATTCACTTTGTATCCCAGCTGTAGCCCCTCCCATCTCCCTTCCCAATCCCACCCTCCCTCTCTTTTCTCCTCCCATGCCCCTCCTCAATTTCACTGGTAGGAGAGGTTGTCTTCCCCTTCCATCAGACCCTAGCCTATCAGGACTCATCAGGACTGGATACATTGTCTTCCTCTGTGTCTTGGTATGCCTGCTTCTCCATCAGGGGGAAATGGTCAAAAAGCCAGCTATTGAGTTCATGTCAGAGACTATCCCTCTTTCCATTACTAGGGAACCCACTTGGATATTGAGCTACCTTGGGCAACATCTGTGCAGGTGTTCTAGGTTATCTCTATGCATGGTCCTTGGTTGAAGTATCAGTCTCAGAAAAGACACCTGTGCCCAGATATGTACATACTGAAATTCAACAACCTTTGTATAGTAGTAGATGTCTTTTGAAAGTATTTAGCTCATGAGGGCCAAGGTCTCATGATTGGAATTGGTAGCTTTATAAAAGGATCCCAAGGAGCTCCCTTACTTTTAAGTGTCATATAAGAACACAGCAATAAGGCAACTATATGTAATTAGGTCCTTATCATCTATCAAATCACTGCCTATAATCAGGCAATTATATAATGAATTAGCTCCTTACTGTGCACAAAATTTCTAAATATATTTATTTTGGGATCTGTGAGACTTTATTACTATGAAATAAATGTTGTTACCTGGAAAGCATTTATTATAAAGTATTATGTTATTGCAACCTAAATAGAACAAGACACATATTTACCATAAATTGATGCCTATGTTATCATTGGTTATAGGTTACATTTTTTTATATCTTGCTTTAATAACTTTCTTTATGATCAACTTCTACTTTTTTCTCCACTACTTTTTGGGCTTCTTTAGAGCATACCCAATTGATTGTAAAAAAAAAAAAAAAAAGAAACAAAAAAAAAAAACAACAGCTATTTGTAAGTATTGGTATATTAACACTAGTCAAGTAACTATCAGAAAAACTAATAGATTACAATCCCTATCTCTAGAAAAAAGAAAAAGAGGTGGGGAGGGAAGAAATGAAAAGGAAAAAATTTTAAAATAGTAGAAAAATTATTTTAGAAACTCTTGTTATATTTTAATCAGGAGTTTCATATATGGTTGTCCACTCTATACATCCAGGGTCAGGATATAATTCTGAAGTTATACTAGAGTTAAATACTTGAGAAACTTTTCTAGAGAGCAATCAGCTATCTTGAGAAATGATCACTTTTTAATTAATTCACAAGGAAAACCTGTAGTGCTATCAAAGGCTCATTTATATAATCTCTTCCATCTCGATCTTATTCTTCTCATACGTGGTATATGTGTATGCATTTCTGAAATGGGGAGGAAAGGTTATTTCATGTTTTACAAAGAACTTAGAAAACAGGGCTGAGGGACTTATCCAATTTTTTTTCTTTAATTCCTGACACAATATCATGAAAGTTTTTCTGTTCTAAGGGTTGTATTGTAGCCAAGTGTGGTGGCACACTCCTGTAATCCCAGCACTCTAGGAGGTAGAGACAGACCACTGTCTTTGAGTTAAAGGCCAGCCTGCTCTACAAAACAAGTCCAGCATAGTCAAGGCAATATAGAGAAATGCTGTCTCAAAACAAAACAAGAGTTATATTGTGGTTTATCAGTTGGGCTCAACAACTCTGTTTGATCAGTTGTCATTTTCTTAAATGGTCTCTGTTGCAAAGAAATTTCCTCAATGAAGGGTGAGAACTACTTATAATCTATGATTATAAGGACAAATATTTAGAATGTAGTTAAGGGTTATACCAGTTCTAAATCAGCAGTTAGTTGTAGGTTCCTATCTAAGATCCATTACTTCACCAGTCCTGTCTAGTTGACCCTTTTCAAGTCATATGGTCTCCTTGGTGACTCGGTTTCTCCATCTGAAGAGTGAGAACAGAAGCAGGGCCATTCAGTAATGGATTTGTGTAGACCTGGGCCTGAATAAATTTAGACCATAAGACTTCTACTGTTCTTGGCTATCAGAACACATTCCTTACAACCTCCATAAGCATGGTTTTCCTCTTGTTGAGTGGGTCGTAAGTTCAATTTGACAGCTGTTGGCTACTGTCAAGGTATGCCTGCCATTATTGTACCCTTATAGTTATCATGCCATGCTGGTCATTGTTCTCTTTCATTGGCATCATAGCTGGGCAGATGTATTAGTTGTTCCCCTCTTTTGAAAGCTTGCATAGCACTACCTTCTGGTACCATGAAACCTAGTCCTCAGAAAGGGGCACTCAGGTCAGGTGCAGCTCAAGTCCTCTGGGTCATGTGTATGAAGTACATGGTGCCTTCACCAATAGAAAATTAACTTCAATCACTGATGGAAGAACCAAACGCAACAGCAATAGCTGATTTATGTTTTGGGAGTATCTTGCAAATCCCTGACCAAAAATCCAAAAGAGGGCCTCTCATGCCTGATGTTGGGGGTCTTATTAAGTTGTCTAAGTCTCTTTCAGGAAGTGTCCTCAGCACAGATAGGGAAGTTTCATTTAAATTTTATATGTATGTTTTAAACTGGTTTAAATGTCTTATAGGTATTTTAAGTAGAAAATAGCATGATTCATTGTGACTTTTTCATAAATCATTATTTCCATTTTAACCTTCTGTGTTTTTTCTTTTTCTTTTCTTTTTTTATAATTTATTCATTGTATATCCTGATTGCAACTCCCTCCCTCAACTCCTCCCAGTCCCACCTTCCCTTCCTCTTAACCCCCTATCCCTTTCCAGTGGTATACTTAAAGGGGAGCATTCTCTTCCCTGCCATCTACCCCTAGTTTATCAAGTCGCATCCATACTGCCTGGTTCCTCTCCCTCTGTGGTCTGGCAAGGCCACATCACCAGGGGCAAGTGATCAAGGAGCAGGCAACCGAGTTCATGATGACAGGGGCAGCCCCTGCTCCCGTTACTCTGGAAAACATATGGAGACTGAGCTGACAATCGGCTACATCTGAGGAGGTCCTCTCCATGCATGGTCCTTGGTTGGTGCATCAGTCTCTGCAGGAGCCCCTGGGCTCAGATTTTTAGCTTTGTTGGTCTCATTATGAAGCTCCTGTCTTCTTCCTGTCCTTCCTACCATTGCTTTCCCTTTCTCTAATCTATTCCAAACTCTTAAGATAAGTGTTTCTCAACTTTCCTAATGTTACAGCTCTTTAATAGAGTTCCTCCTGTTTTGGTGACCCCAACCATAAAATCTTTTTACTGTTGCTTTATAACTGTAAGTTTCCTATTTTATAAATCATCACGTAAATATCTGATAGGCAGAATATCTGATATGCGAGTCCTGTGAAAGCTCATGTAGTGTCCCCCCCCCCTCCTTTTTTTCTGAAACACGATGAGATACATTGTATTGCAATTGAGTACATTCATCTCTCATCCTAACAGTTACAGGTTGCAGTCTATTTTAGGGGTAAATTTCTTTCTGTTTCCTTCAGAAAGAAGGAACATCTTTTCATCATGGTATCCCCAGGATTGGTATCAGAAAGGGTACCTAAGAAAACAATTTGCCGAATGATCAAACAATTTCTGCTTTGGGGGAAGTCTTTAGTAATGACTTTGGTAATGACAAAAACTTGAATGGTTTCATCCGTTCCTTTCTTTAATCATGCATTCATTCTGAGAATAAACCAGTACTGTGTGAACGGAAAGAGTGAAAGCTGTCATGGTTTAAAACTTAAAAACAGGAAAAAAATATTCTTCTAGACTAAATTCTCATGAGCCTTTTAATGTATATGAAACAAAGCACCTGATCTTTTATTTATTACTGTGACTAACAGAGCGTGCAGCCACTGTCCAAACAATGTCTGTGTAATTGGTAGGTTTTGATCAAGAAAATTTAGCCAAGCAGTTTGCATAGACTAGGGCTAATTTATGCCTGTGAAATCACTTGCCCCATCTGAATTTCCTTAAAAGGTGATTAGGTAATACAAATCAATAAAATTAACCAACAAGGAACTGGTAGCAGGATTAGGAACAGGCCTAGATAGTTCCACAGACCTTCCATCTTGGATTTCTGCTCTGCAACGCCTGAGATCTACCAGCCATGGTTGGCTCTGGGCATGGCACAGGGAGGAGTGCCTGGTCCGTGACTTCCTCTTTCTTGTGGCCTGACTATGGACAAATGCCACTGTAGCTGATGGAGCAGGTGGGAAGGCTAGAGTCCTTGGTGCTCTCACTAAAAGTGGCTATAGTGCAGTACAAAATTTGTACGACATTTCAGTGACTAGAATATAGAGGTGCCATTTCCTGCTCTTTCGGTCTCTGCTGGCATACTGCCCCCTCTCTAGAGCCCCTTTAACTGCTTTTCACCTCAATGCTCCAGTTCTCTTTCCATTTCTATTAAAATACTGAAGTGATCATTCAGCCTCCCAAAGTCTGCCTCAGGGCTCACACCCTGTATACATTCTTTTCTGGCTTTAGCATTCAAATTAAGGAAACATTTTATAATTTTTACAGCAAGCCCCATGCAATCCCCTATGGATACCCATAACTAAAACCCGTTGACTGACAGTTTTAAAAGAAAAACGACTGACAGGTTGTTTCTATCACTCCTCTGAGGTCTGCTCTGAAAAGCCCGCATCACAATCCTGCACAGCTAGGATGTCAGGGTTTGGGGCATCCTCTACCACCCACCGGCACTCATGCACACGGATAGCAGTGACTTGCTCTGTACCCATATCAGGGGCTGGGCTATCATCCCCTCCCAGCACTTCCTGAGCCTCGGAAACCTGGGGCATCTCATTGCTCTTCACAGGACAGATGGGATTAGAATTTGACACGGCATCTTCTTGAGGGATGACCACCACAGCTGGACATGATCGCTGGGGGCACCCTCTCAGTGGCTTCTGGAGACATAATGGCTTCCCTGCGGGGCCTAGACAGCTGGTGTCTTCAATGAGGTGGATTGAGAGGTAGGACCGCTACCCTCCAGCATGGTCCCCAACCCCAATCCGGGAGCCTCGACTTCCAAAGGGGTAGGATGGGCCTCCCTCTCGCTGACTTCACTTTCTTTGCAGTTGTCCTACTGGGTGGCAGCTGAATGGATGTCTTCTGGGTAGATCTTGTTTTCATCCTTGTTTTCATTTTCTTGGGGAATAGGTGTCCCCTTGCATGCCTCGTTTTCAATCACTTGGGCAGGCTCTACAGACACTGTCACAGTCAACAGCTCTTTCAGCTCCTTCAAGGATCCCGGAGTGCTGCTAGACTCTGGGCTCTCGCGGATTGGTTCCTCATCTTTAAGCGTCTCCCTGGCTTCTGCCTCCGACAGGTGTGAGCTTGGGGGTTCTTCTGTATTCTCTGCCGTGAAAGGACTCCCAGAAGAGCTGTCCATTTCAGCTGCCCATTTCTGCCCGAAGGAGAACTGGACCCAGGGACGGAAGTACCTTCCCCTCTGGCCAGTGAGCAGACACCCCAGGCTGCTGCTGCTTATCCTCTGCCTCCTGGAATACTTCATTACTTGGGGGCTCACTGTCTGGAGCCCCTCGTAGAATGGCAGATGCTCTTCTGGCTGGGGTGGCCTGGTTTGACTCCATGGAGGATTTAAGATTTGTCAGACTGGATTCACTTTCACTGGGCACGGCCATGTTGTCTTCAAATAAGTTGTGTTTCTTCAGGACAGCTGCCTCCGTTATCACTTTCAAGGTTTCGTCAAGGAGGATCTGATACAGGATCTCCTCATAGACGTTCTCAACGTGGATCATATTTGTATGATCTGTGAAGATGAACTGCTCATATTTCTGAAGCTCTGGTTTGCATGTGGACGCCAGGGCCTTATGCACAGTGGGTAGTGTGATTTGAATCAATGCCTCCTGGAAGATCTTCTTCTGGATGGTGCTGCTGTCATAATCGTATTGCTTTAAGACATGGAGCTTAACCTTCTCGATGGCCACTGCTGTTTTGGAAGCCTCTCCTTGGAGATGTGCGGAGAGCAACTGCTCAAATGTGAACACAGCGTTCTCCATGAGCTCTTGCATGTAGTTCTGCGTCCTCTGGACCACCAAGTCAACGTGAGGGAATCTGAAGCAGCTCTGGAGATATATTTCAAATACCACATTCAGCAAATTAGTGTTCCCCTTTTAACTCTACTTTATTTGGGGTGTTTAGGCCTCAATCTCCTTTCCAACCTCTCACCCCTACGTAGGAGAGAGAAGGTTAATTGGGGAGAGAGGATGCAGACCCTTTTACAACTGGTTGTATAGGGTTGAGTTTTGTTTCTTTTTGTTTCTTTTTTTTGGGGGGGTGTATACACATCTCCTTCAACAGCAGATTCAGTCAGCAGTCTTCTTCAAGCCGCTGTGACCTGAAGCATCTCTCTCCTTCTATCTACTTCAAACTCCACACCCTCTATCTCTCTGGTCTCTCCAAACTGCTACACTCCACACACCAACACGGCTTCTTTTTCTGGACACTCAAATTTATATCCTCAGAGTCCTAGACCATGCCCCTCTCCATGAAGCATGTGGGAGACCTAAAGACCAACTGGCAAAAGCCACACCACACATGAGACAATTAACAGGTATGGAAATGGTATAGCCCAACTAAAATTCCACACTTGGGATTAAGCAAGAACATTTTTTACATAACATAACTGAGTTTACAAAGAAAACAAAAGTTCCAGTTCCATTATAGGGTCATTGAGTTCTCAAAAGCACTGTGACCAACAGGTTGATAACTGATGCTTTAGATGATGATAAATGAGAAGCAGAGAGTCAATTATTATAACACACCCTGGTCTTTTTCCACTTCATTTTAAGTGGTAAACATGAAGTGAAAATACACGATCCTAAGTATTAAATAACTTAAAGATTACACACATAATTATATCAATACTAAGTTACAGATAAAAGCCATGTGACTCCTCAAATGAGCTTGGTAACTATCCACAGGGTGAGTTTCATTTAAGTAAACATCTGAAGAATAAGATGCCATTTTTAGGCAAAAAAGAAGGAGGAGGAGGAGGAGGAGGGGAAAATAAAGTTTAGGCAAATAGAAGACTCAAAAAAGTGGCACCATGTTTTAATTAACTCTTTTGTAATTAGAGTTCTTTTTGGTGTCATTCAGACACATTGGTAAAATGGCTGGATTTTTGTTTATATATAATTGTCTCTCGATTTGTGTGTGTGTGTGTGTGTGTGTGTGTGTGTGTGTGTGTGCACGTGTGGGCACATTGTATTTGAAAGTAGATGAGACAATGGGAGAGAGGTCTAAAGGGAAAGAAAATAGAATATATATGTTACATGAAATCAGAAGGTGTGAGCTATTTGGAAGAAGGAAAAGGATCAACATGAAAAGTCAGGGAAAACAAGAGAGGGCACTGAAGAGGGAGTAAGAAAAACCTATACTGATATATATTATGAAATGGCAAATGAATCACATTTCCATGTATCCAAACTAAAATAATAAATTTAAATCCAAGAAAACAGGATCAAAAAATCTGAAGAACTAAATAGGTTATTACCAGGTGTGCTGGCTTGTCTTATGTCAATTTGACACACAAACTACAGTTATCTAAAACAAGGGAAACTCAACTGAGAAAAATGCCTTCATAAATTCCATCTGTAAGGCATGTCCTTAATTATTTATTGTTGGGGGAGGGCCTAGTACATTGTGCGTGGTTCTGACCCTGGGCTGGTGGTCCTGAGTTCTATAAGAAAGCAGGCTGAGCAAGGCAGTAAGCATCACTGCCCCATGGCCTTTGCCTCAGCTTCAGACTCTAAGTTCCTGAACTGTTTGAGTTCCTTTCTTGACTTCCTTTGATAATGAACAGCAACACAGAAGTATTCGACAAATAAACTCTTTTCTTGCCAACTTGTTTTTTAGTTATGGTATTTTGTCACAGCACTAAAAACCCTAACTAAAATATTGAAGAAGCAATTTTAGGTGATGCCGCAATTTTAGTAGACTAAGGGAACCATGTATTTATCCTTGGATGTAATAAAGAACAGTTTCTCTGCTGTATAATAAGAACTGAGTAGGCTAGAAAGCAGAAGTGAATAATGGAAGGATTCTGTAGTGATTTATCTCTCCATTATTTAAACATAAAAATGTCTGTTTTACTCATGACTTTAGTTGTTGTTTTCTTTTTTCTTATTTTTATTAAATTTTATTTTTTATATTAATTACAGTTTATTTACCTTGTATCCCAGCTATAGCCTCTTCCCTCATTCCCTCCCAATCCCACCCTCCCTCCCTTATCTCCTCCTTGCCAATCTCTAAGTCCACTGAAAAGAGAGGGCCTCTTCCCCTTCCATCTGACCCTAGTTTATCAGGTCTCATCAGAACTGGCTGTAATGTCCTCCTTTGTATCCTAACTAGGCTGCTCCTCCCATGGAAGATGGAGAGGTCAAAGAGTCAGGCATTGAGGTCATGTTAGATACAATCCCTGTTCCCTTTACTAGGGTACCCACTTGGACACTGAACTGCCATGGGCTACGTCTGAGCAGGGGTTCTAGGTTATATCCATGCATGGTCCTTGGTTGGAGAATCAGTCTCAGAAGAGACCCTTGGGCCGAAATATATTTGGTCTTTGTGGAGCTCCTATCCTCTCCAGGTGTTACTAACTCCCCCTTCTTTCATAAGATTCACTGCACTCTGCCCAAAGTTTGGTTATGAGTCTCAGTATCTGCTTTGTTACACTGCTATGTAGAATCTTTCGGAGGCCCTCTGCAATAGGCTTCTGACCTGTTTCTTGACTCTAGTTAACTGAAGTGTTGCTGGTGAGATTTCTATGTTTGAGCATCGTGCAATAGAAAAACAATGATCATCATGAACTTCTGAAAGTTAAAAGTGTAATTTACAGGATTCAGGAATCACTTGTATTTGTTAATTCAAGTTGAATCATAAAAACCTAAGACAATTTCAGTCATTTACATAATAATAAATTTAAAATCAATCTTATATACATAATCCCATGATTCTTAGTTATTTGTGAGGCAAGCACTATGTCTTACACAAATTAAAGTTTTTTTTTTTTTTAATGAAGTGTTGCTCATAAGATGGACTCATAAAATTTCATTTCAATGAAATTCATAATATCAGCCAGGCACAAATTTATCATTAAACCTTATTTATGTTTATTTATGAATTAAATCTGTCATTATGATCTATACACAGGTACAAAATTTACTTTTCTCTCAAATGCATTGTAAAATATATTAGATACCAGGAAGTTATATAAAAGAGGATAATTAGTCACTTCTATGTGCATGAACAAGAAGGGTTGAGTGATACTAAAAGGGGATGGCAATAGGAAAAAATGTATGTGACATTGTAAGCTGTGCTTCATAGGCAAGATAAGAGTTTCTCAGGAAGACAAGTGTAAGAGAGGACAGTCCACATAAAGGAGATAGCATGAACAAGGTGTGAGATCACAAGGTCATTCAAAAGTGTGATATAATAAACAAGGTGTGAAATAAATTGAACACTGGAGGGGTGAACCCATGGAACGCTCACAGAATTCAGACATATCTAGAAAATGAGATGGAAAGAGTGGTAAGTTGATGAGAAGGGACTTTGGGAAGTTAGGAATTATTCTGGTTGCAAAATCTCTTGCAATGTGTAAGACATTTTGACTTGAGTAAACAATTGAGAGAGTATAGTTGAAAACAGTATGAGAAATACATACGTGAAGTGAGGTTAACTGGTCACTAGATATGATGTTATCTCATGAAGATAGTGTATATACCATGTTGTAGCTAATAAAATATTGAAGGTCTATGTTTAGTCTCTTTAATTGGATTGACTATCATTTGCTCTCTCATGATTTTTTAATACAAAATCAGCCTTCTTTCTTTTCCTGCATATCTTGATTATACATATGGATAAATAATGGTATAAAATTCACAGGCAACATATTCCTTGACTGTTGGATATAACAATCATTACTTCTGCTGTGGTCATAATGAAAACACTGAGAAGCAAAACTTCTAAACAATTTTTACCTTCAGTCTTTTCAACCTCATTGTGAGGAAGGAGGGAATAGGGCTAGGAATACTTAGGAAATATCCATCTTTCTGTGGACTCACCAATATTATCTCTGAATAAAGTACCTTAGGGTTTTTTTTTTATAATAACTATTTTATTTTTTTTCTTTTTTCATTAATTTTTATTTTTTATATTAATCACAGGTTATTTACTTTGTATCCCAGTTGTAGCCCCCCTTCCTTATTCCCTCCCAATACCATCATCTCCTCCCTGCCCCTCTCTAAGTACACTGATAGGGTAGGTCCTCCTCCCCTTCCAACTGACCCTAGCTTATCAGGTATCTTCAGGACTGGTTTCCTTGTTCTCCTCTGTGGCTTAGTAAGATTCTTCCTCCCTCAGGGGGGTGGGAAGGTAAAGGAGCCAGTTGTTGAGTTTATGTCAGAAATAGTTTCTGTTACCCTTACTAGGGAAACCCACTTGGTGACTGAGCTACCATGGGCTTCTTTATCAAATGTTTCAAAACTGAGAAACAGAACATGGCTATTTGAAGAGGAATTAAACTTATAGACTCAATGACGATCTACTCCAACATTTCTCAAAAATGTTGATAAATAAATAGTTACATATATTCTAAACATCAGAGGACACTAAGGGCCAGTATTTTAAATATATCTCAATTACTAAACTGAGATATATTTTAAATATATCTCACTTATTAAACTGAGATATTAAATACTAAATTAAGATATTAAGTTTACTCTTGAGAATATACATACTATGGGCATAGTCACTCCTTAGTACCTTTTATACCTCTTAACTCTGCCAACCCTCCGTATCTGCCCTAATTAGTCCCCATCCCACATTCATGTACCTCTTTCCCTCCACCCTCTTTCTCTTGTGTATGTGCAGGTGGTCTCAGTTACTGTGTGTCATATCTGGAATTCAGCACTTCAATCCTCCCTAGTCTTTCATTTCCATAGCCTTTTCACCTTCTTTATGACTTTGGACTTTAGGAGTGACATAGATGTCCTGTTTAGGACCAACCACTCATTTGTCACTGATCTTCAGAACTGAGATCAGTTATTAGTCCTCATTTGCTGACATGAAGCTTCTGTGAATCAGGGTGACAGCTACACATGTCTATGCATATAAAAATATGTATTTATGTTCTCTTTCTCTTTCCCTCCCTCTCTTTCTTTGTGTGTGTGTGCGCGCTTGTGTGTATGCCTTAGAAAGTGAGTGGAGATCATAGGGCAACTTACAGAAGTTATTTCAAAATCATCTCAAATATATTGTAGAACATCCACTACTTGTGCCTTTGAACAGGATGGTATTTTAGAAAAGAAAAAATGATCAGTTGTGATCCTGTTTTAAAACTTTTTAATGGTTTGTTATTGCTGCTGTGGTTGAGCTTAAATCCTCAGACTATTTAGGGCTTATTGAGTTAGCTTATCTCATAAAGGCACTTGATGTCAAGCCAGATGATATAAGTTAAATGTCACACAAAATAAAACAAGACAAAACAAATTTTAAAAAAAAGCCAAGCACATGGTAGAAGGAGAGCACCAAGCTGGGGAGTGGTGGTGCACACTTTTAATCCCAGCGGAAGCAAAGACAGGTGAGTCTCTGTGAGGTCAAGGCCAGCCTGGTCTGCAGAGCATGCTTCCAGGACAACCAAGGCTACACAGAGAAACCCTTTCTTGAAAAAAAACAAAAACTAAAAAAGGAGAGTACCAACTCCTGCACATTGCCCAATAATCTCCTCTCAGGTGTGGAGGCACACACACACACACACACACACAGAGAGAGAGAGAGAGAGAGAGAGAGAGAGAGAGAGTTAGGGAGAGAAAAAACATAAATAAGTTAATAAACCAGCAAATATAATAAAAATTACAACAGAAGTATTTTAAAGGCTGTTTAATTACAGTGATTATCTGCAAAACATTGGTTATAGATTTTTCCATAGGATCTGCAACCAAACATGACTAAAAAAGAGCAGGATATGT